TACTTTGTAGAGTTTGTAGATGATGATTTATGGGATTTGATTGTCGAAGAAACCAACCGCAACGCTCGCCAAAAACTTTCAAATTCACCCGAGCTTAGCAGATCATATGTTGTAAATTTATAAACGTTTCGCTTTATCCTTCATCTCCTGAGTCCTCATCATTCAAGTGTCGATACAATCTTAAAAGAAACTCGAATAATAAAGATTTGTACTCACCGTAATGATTAGTATTACTGGGTTTAGCCATGTTTTGTATTCAGGAGTTATTGGCATTTCCGGTTTAGCCGCGATGATTTCTCGGGCGAGAAAATTGTGATGTACGATTCTCGTTTTCGGGTTTTTTCGGAGAGATTATCTGGCTTCTATTTGACTTCATCTTATTTGGTATTTGGCCGCTAATTTGCCCCATAAAAAATACTAGAAATCGTGTTAAAAATATGGTTTGCGTTCGTCGTCATCAATTACACAGTTCGCTTATCTTTCGCTGTGAAAATCAAGTTTGGCGTTTTTCCCCGCTTTACAAATTATTAGAGGTTCTCTTTTCAATGTTTGGCTCTTATTACCCGATATTTGCTGGTAAATTAGCTGCAAATTTATCTCATTGTAAATGCTATAAGTTTCTTAATGTTTGGTTTGGTTTAGTTTGGCTTGAATAATTGGCGACTTAACACATTTCACTTTCCTTTGCATCGGAAAACAATTTCGGGATTTTGTCGCGCGGTAGAAAAATAATTAATTTCTTACTTTTAGATTGGTTTGGGACATTGATTTGAGCTCTTTTGGCCGATTTTATTTGATAGTTTGGCCGCTGATTTATCTGACTTGAAATCATCAAAGTTTTGTAACCTGATCTTGTGTGTGTGTTTACTGCGCATTTTGTTTACTTTAAGCGCTCGCGCTCGCTCTGAAATGTTAAAAAAATTGCAAGGGAACTAGGGGTGGATCGCTGGAAATTTCATGCGTGTGTGATACGGGGGCGATTTTGCAAGGAGAAATTGGAAGGTGGTCACTCTAAGGGCCAAAGGGTTGATAATGACTTGATTATCTAGACTTGTCATTAAATTCCAATCCATTGTTATCTGCAGTTAGACCATCAATTATACTCAAGACTACAACAGCTCAAACTCTGAATGAAGGTGCTTCATTGAAGTTATTCTGTGTTGCTAGTGGCAACCCCAAACCATCCTACACGTGGTACAAAGATAACGTAAAGATTCAGGAAGATCCAAACAACTCTAACTACACAATAACATCAGCTAATAGGAATGACGCAGGAACGTACAGATGTGAGGCTATTGTTAGTGCTCCAACTCTTGGCCAATACAGTGCCCCTTACACCGTCCAGGTTACAGTTAGATGTAAGTCTACGTGCAATACTTCTTAATAAGCTTTCAACCCCTGGATTGATCAGATTGTACATTCTGGTTACTATTTTGATACAAAGTGAAGCAGACATGTAGTGAGCTACACTTGTATTCCGCCTGAAAGACATGACATGTCCGGTTCAAATTCCCCACCCCAGCCAGGCAAGGTTCAAATTCCCCCCTCCCTCCTCCTTAGAATAGATGATGATTAAATGCTGTTGGTTGCCTAGAGGGATGTTAAAGCTTCAAATTGATTGACGCATCACTAACTTTTTTTAGTATCATTAGCAACTTCTTAGATATAACCAATAAATGAAGGTGTGATCAACTGTTCAGAAAAATGT